TCTGAAGGACCTGGCGCACCAAGTGTGACTGAGTCAGGGTGATGGTGCGCGACGCTCTGTCCCTGGAGATCTGCAAGCCAAGGTAGCGGCGCAGTTCTCCAAGGTGAGTGCACGTGTGTCTCTTCAGCAGCTCTGCCTTCACGGAGGCCAGTGCGTCCCTGTCTGCTGTGGCAAAGACCAGGTCGTCGACGTAAACAAGAATGTAGAACGGAGTCTGGCCAGCACGAACGAAGAGTGAGGGGTCTGCGGAAGACGGAAAGAACTGCAGGTCAGCAAGCGTAGCACGGAGAGTGTCGTGCCACTCACGGGGAGCCTGGCGAAGGCCGTAGACGGGGCGCCGGAGGAGCCACTGGGTCCCAGGAGGGAAGGTGCCAGTAAAGCCCTGAGGGCGACGCAAGTAGACCTGCTCGTGTAGGCTGCCCTGAAGGAAGGCAGTGGAGAAGTCGAGGGAGTGAAGCTCGTAGTCACGCTGAGCAGCTAGGTGTAACAGAACCCGAAGAGTAGTCATCTTTGGGGTCGGAGCGAAAGTCTGGAAGAAGTCCACCCCCTCGCGCTGACTGAAGCCTCTAGCCACATAGCGCGCCTTGAAGACAGGCGGCTCTCCAGGAGGGCGCTTCACCTTGAAGAGCCAGCGGCCATCGACTACGTTCACCCCAGGTGGGGGAACTGCGTCGACGAAGGTGCCGGTGGATCTCCAAGATGCCATCTCCTGCTCCATGGCAGCTATCCACTGCGAGGCCCAGGGTCCCGAAGTCGCCTCAGCGTAAGTGCGAGGGGTCGGGATGTCGAAAGCGTCTGGGTCACCCTCAGGGACTAGCAGCATGGAACAGAGATGGGGAGCAGCCTCGGAGAGGAAAGCAAGCTCGAACTGGCGGTCCTCCAGGACGTCACTGCCAAGGGCAGGAGCACCCCCGACAGACGGAGGACAGGCAGGGTCAGAGACCAGAGCGGTGGCGTAGTCAAGGCGGCGGGTAGAGGCGAAGTCAGCGACAGCAGCGACAAGAGCGTCAAGGCACGAGACTGGAACAGACGGGTCGGTAACGAGAGAGGCAAGGACCCGAGGAACGAGAGGACGAGCGGCACGAAGGTAGTCGGACAGCGGGGGGGGCGCAACAACAAGGGAGGACGGAGGAGGTGACGGCAGAAGGGGAGGACGAGACGCGTGTGAACGAAGCAACATAGGGTGGGAGCGCAGGACAGGCGAGGCAGGACGAGCACGGGAGGGACGGTGAGACCAGACGTGCGATGGAGGAGTCGGGTCAGGAGACAGGGGAGGGGACACAGGAGGGGAACGAGGGGGGAGACGGGCCGGGGACGAGTCCGGCGGAGGGAAAACAGGGCCGTAGACAGGAAGAGGAGGAGACGGTCGGGGAGGAACCGACGCAGGGTCGGGGGACGGAAGGCCGAGCAGGCGAAGGGCGGACACCGGCGGGGACTGCTGCTGCGGCGGCACAACGGCGACACCTGGACTGCAAGCTGCTCCTCGGCTACCACCGGCACTCTCCACACCCGCACCCCCAGAGGGACCACCCTCAGGGCGACCGGGACGAGCACCCCCAGAGTCAGCGAACGGGGGCTGCGACTGCGGCGGCGGCGGCGGCGACGGCGACGGCTGCAGTGGCGGCAGGGACGGCGGAGGAGGGGACTGGGGAGGGGACACCTGGGGAGGGGCGGCCGGCGAGGACTGCACCGGAGGGCCACCAGAGTCAGAAGACTCCTCAACCGGGTCCACGGACGGAAGGGGGGTGACATGGGAGACACCAGAGGGGGCGGGACGGGGAGGAGGAGGAGGAGGGGCAGGGACTACCGGGGAAGGGGTGACCAGGAACAGGGGGGGGGTAACCGGGGGACCACGGTGGGGGAAGCGGCGGTAGTAGGAGACGGACTCGTCAAAGGTGACGTCACGAGAGTGAAAGAAGCGGTGAGACGGCGGGTGGTAAAAGTGCCAGTCGGACGCGTCAAGGGGAAAACCGAGGAAGACGCAGGGAAGGGTGCGGGCAGTGAGCTTGTCCGTGCCGGAGGCACGGACGTGAGCAAGGCAGCCCCAGACGTGGAACGCAGACGCGTCACCAGGAGACCCAGTCCACAGACGGGTCGGCGAAACCTGCGGCTGCTGAGGGTGCGGCCACAGGTTAAGCTGGTGAGAAGCGTAGCGCACAGCGAACGGCCACAGAAAATGGGGTGCACCGGCATGGACCATGGAGGTGCGAGCGACCTCCATGACAAAGCCGATGCGTCGCTCAGCGACCCCATTCTGCTGTGGGGAGTCCGGTAGGGTGAACGTCTGGGTGATGCCCTCCGCACGACAAAAGCGACCAAGGACACCTGAGGCAAACTCGCCACCACGGTCTGAGTGAAGACGCAAGACAGGGAGACCGCGGTGGACACGTGCAGAGACAAGCCAGGGGATGAGGGCGCCAGGCACGTCGGCCTTGCGCTCCAGGGGAAAGACTGTGGTGTAACGAGTGAAGTCGTCGACAAGCACAAGGAAGTAGCGCTCGCGACGCGGCCCAGGGACGGGGGCGGGGCCCCAGACGTCCAGGTGCAGGGTTTGCAGCGGCGCGGCGGTAGGGGGGAACGAGGAGGAGTGAGGGGCACGGCGAAGCCGACCCTCGACACAGGGCGTGCAAGGTGGAGCTGGGGAGGAGGGAAACGCGGGGAGTGAACCTGGGAGACCAAGGACAAGACCGTGCTGGGACATGTGACGCAGACGCGGGAGCGCAGGGTGACCTAGGCGGTGGTGCCACAGGAGGGTCGGGTGAGTGAGGGAGCGACAGGAGCAGGCAGCAGCAACCTGGGTAGACACAGCCACCTGAGGGGGCGCTCCAGCCGGGGGGGGCACGGTGTCCAGAGTGAACAGGCCGGACACCGGGTCCCGGGGGAACGTGGACAGGGGGGCACCAGTGGCGGCCTCGGTACAGACAGCATACCGCTCGTGACCAGGGAACGTAGTGGTGACGCCAAGGTCCTGGAGGCAGCCGACACCAACTAGGTTCCTGGAGAACGAGGGGATATGCAGACCTGTAAGAGAGCCCGAAGGAACCGCCGGACAGGGAAGGGTGGTGGAACTGCGGGCGACTACCGGGCCGCCGGAGGGGTCAGCAAGAGAAACGGCAGCAGGAACAGGAAGCGGCGTCAGGGTGGTGGAGTCGCGGAAGAAACACCGAGAGGCGCCAGAGTCCAAGGTGAAGGACAGCGAAGCCGAGGGGTCTGGCGACGGAACGACGGCAGAAGCACCAAGACTACACAAAGCAGGGGATCCTACGCCTGACGCAGCAGGGGAGGCTAAGCTAGGCACACCTACACTAGGCAACAGTGAGTAATAAGTCGGAAGCACACTAGAGTCATCAGCATACATCACATGCAGAGCAGAAACAATGGCATCCATGTCCATATCAAAGATCTGAATCTGACGACTAAGCAAACTGTGCCAGTCCGGGAGGTCTGACGACGGGCCGAAACGCTGACGAAAGAGGTCGTCCAGGCGACGAAAGCAGCGGGGAGTGGAGTGACCGATCTTACCGCAAACGAAACCGCGGCGAGGACCGGACTGGATCTGGTACTGACAACGCCCGCCGGCAGAGCCACCACGCGGCACAGGGGCGCGACAGGGCCCAGGAGGGGCGCTACAGGGCCCAAGGAGGGCGCGACGGGGCCCAGGAGGGGCGCTACGGGGCCCAGGAGGGGCGCGACGGGGCCCAGGAGGGGCGCTACGGAGCCCAGGAGGGGCGCGAAAGAGCCCAGGAGGGGCGCTACGAGGCCTGGGAGGAGCGCGACGGGGCCCAGGAGGGGCGCTAGGGGGCCTGGGAGGAGCGCGACGGGGCCTGGGAGGGGCGCGACGGGGCCTGGGAGGGCGTTACAGGGCCCAGGAGGGGCGCTACGAAGCCCAGGAGGGGGCGCGACGAGGCCCAGGAGGGGCGCTACGGGGCCCAGGAGGGGCGCGACGGGGCGCTACGGGGCCTGGGAGGAGCGCGACGGGGCCCAGGAGGGGCGCTAGTGGGCCTGGGAGGAGCGCGACGGGGCCTGGGAGGGGCGCGACGGGGCCTGGCAGGGGCGCTACGAAGCCCAGAAGGGGCGCGACGGGGCCTGGCAGGGGCGCTACGAAGCCCAGGAGGGGCGCTAAGGGGCCTGGGAGGAGCGTGATGGGGCCCAGGAGGGGCGCTAGGGGGCCTGGGAGGAGCGCGACGGGGCCTGGGAGGAGCGCGACGGGGCCCAGGAGGGGCGCTAGGGGGCATGAGCGGAAGCGGTAGGTGGGGGGGGGGATCCTACCTACGCGTGATACCATATCAGAATAATTGAATAGATGGTGATAGAGGGAGAGTACACACAATATAGCTAAGTGTTGTACCCTCTAAGAGGCTACCCTATACAGTCTATACAAACATAACAAATAGACATGTTTGACACCAGCTTGCATCACCTGCGTCATTTTGGCGAAAGACAAGTCACGCCCCTCACAGCTGCTCCGGCTCGCCTCAACCAGTCAGATAGGATTCTGTTTCAGGCTGGAAATCCGTTAAGGCTGATGATTCAGGGTGACCAAAACAAGAACATACAATATTTCAGGCCTGCTCAAATTACAACCCCTAAAATTCAGGCCTAGGAAAAATCAAAAGCTGAAAAAATATGATGACCTTAAAAAAAACCCTGATATACAGCATTTCAGGGCATTTTGTCCTGACTTCTAAAGTCCTGGTAGTGAGTATACGCTAAGTGCATATCATGAAACATGTTTTGTTGTTGTGGCGTATGTTTGCATTCTTGGATTGCACATGTTTCGGAGACGAGACAACAGGATGCAGTAGCGCGTATGTGGATTGGTGTTTCCTGTCGCTGGAGGTGGCGTGAGTGGTGGGTGGTTTGGTTGGTTGATAGCCTTTCCCCCAATCTCACTCGCTCGTTCCACCCAACTCACTCCCCTCTCTCCCCATCTCGCTCACTTCTCCCCCCCACCTCACTCCCGTCTTCCCCATCCGCCATTTTCCTGCTCACAATCTCCACCCTTGGAAGTTGAAGGCACTGTTGTTCTAGCTCCTATCCTGCTCCATCCGTACACCCCGCCCCACCCCACCAACGCACAGCCCCCTCAGCTAACTGCGTCAGCATCGTCTAGGTTTAGGGCAGAGTTCAGAGCAGAGATTTCCAGGAGCCTCCACACCAGGTTACTTATCGTTAATAGGTTATCCTGATTCTGTCTGTCAGAGTATAAGTCGCAAACGTCGGTTATTACCCGCGACGTTTTTTACCTGGGCGTCGCTCTCAAGCCGGCATAGTTTCGAATTAAGAATCATTTGACGGGATGCAATTGGGCATCAGGCCGCGCCCAGCAGGGCTAGGAGCGATTGACACGTGGTAGTGGGGATGATGCCAGAAAGCCGCTGGACGAACTCCCAAGGTCGCGGGTTCGATTCTCAGCAACCCTAGATGTCTCAGGTTCGAGGTCAGGCTGGGCACGCCCTGAAAGGCGAAGCTCCGTACGCTAACGGCGTAAGTGACCTTCATCAGCAGCAGCAGTCAAGGCAATACGCGAATCAGCCTATAACGAATCAACAGCGACTGTATGCGGGGCAGCAGCAGCAGCAGCCCAATCAGCAACATCGCGTAAGGGGGGGCTCCGCCGCTCCCCCCCAACCGGGAGCCCACGCTGTAGCGCAGCAGGGTTACAACCATGCATCCTACGGTTACAACGACGCGTACGCCGCTGAAGGGGACGAGTACGCGTACGAGGATGAGGCAGGCGGGAGCGGGGTCCAAGCGCGACCAGCACCAGCATCGGCGCAAGGGCTTGCGCCAACCGGCGGAATGGGGGGAACGGCGGGAAGGGGGGGATCGGGGGGGAGGGGGGAATCGGGGGAAGGTCTGGGTCTATGGGGGGGGCGCGGGCCGGGGGAGAGGAGGGGGAGTGGCGCAGCAAGGAGTTCCGCCGCAGGTAGCGGGAGCGCAGATGCAACAGGCGCAACCGTTGCCGCCGCAGCAACAGCAGCAGCAGCAGTATGCGCAGCAGAAGCCCCTGCGGCAACCACCGCCCATGCAGCAGCAGCAGGAGGACGATTCAGATCTACCTGTCGTGTTGCACCTACCCCCGTTAGCCCAGCGCCAGTCACAAGCAATGCAACACCAGCAGCAGCAGCAATTACAGCAACAGCAGGACGACAGTTCAGATCTACCTGTCCAGTTGCACCTTCCCCCGTTAGCCCAGCGCCAAGCACACGCGATGCAGCAACAGCTGCAACAACAGCACCATCCGCAGTTACAGCAGCAGCAGCAGCAGCAGCAGCAGCAGCAAGACGACAGCTCAGATCTACCTGTCGTGTTGCACCTTCCCCCGTTAGCCCAGCGCCAATCACAAGCGATGCAACACCAGCACCAGCAGCAGCAATTACAGCAACAGCAGCAGTTACAGCAGCAGCAGCAACAGCAGCAGCGGCAGGACGACGACAGTTCAGATCACGGCGTGCAGTTGCACCTCCCCCCCTTAGCTCAGCGCCGGGCCTTCATAGCCGGAAAGCGCGCCTCCAGCCTTAATTCCGCTTCTCTAGACCGCGCTGCGGCTTCCCTCTCCCTTAACCCACCCGCAACTGGTGGCCCGGGGTATGCGGGGGGAAGCGGGAACTACGCTGGCGGAAACTTAGGGGAAAGCGGGGGGAGTGGGAACTACGGAGGCGGGAATTCAGGGGGAAGCGGGGGAAGCGGGAACTATGGAGGCGGAAAATTGGTGGCAGGTGGGGGGAGTGGGAACTACGGAGGCGGGAAGCTAGGAGGGAGGGGGGGGAGTGGGAATTACGGGGGCGGGAAGTTAGGGGGGAGTGGGGGGAGCGGGAACTATGGGGTCGGGAAGTTAGGGGGGAGCGGAGGGAGCGGGAACTATGGGGAGGGTGCGGGGAGTCAGCAGCAGGTGCGGGGGGCGAAGGGCGGATCAAGAATGGCTGGGGGATGGGACAGGGGGCGGGGGGGATGCCTGCGGGGATGCATGGGGGGATGGGGGCAGGCGTGGGGGGAGTTCCTGGGGGAAGCATGGGGGGTGGGGGGGCTGGTGGGGGGAAGGCTGTTCCGCCCATGCGCAGGAGCGTGAGCGGGGATCGATCGTCCATAAATAAGCCGCCTGGAGACTTGATGGGTGGGGGTATGGGGCCAGGTATGGGCGGGGGAATGGGGGGAGGCATGGGAGGGGGAATGGGGGAGGCATGGGAGGGGGAATGGGGGGAAGCATGGGCGGAGCTGGAGGCATGGGGATGGGGGGAATGGTGCCGTGTAATGCCCCCCGACCGAACGCGCCCCATCCTTATCAGCACCACCTTCAGCAGCAGCAGCAGCAGCAGATGCAGCAGCACCAGCAATTTCACCAGCAGCAGCAGCTACCCATGAAAGCGCCTCAGCAGGAGCAGAATCCGGAGGGCCCACCAATCCTCGTCCTCCCGCCGTTCTTCCGCACTCGCAGCGTCCCCGAACGAGAGCTCTACGGCAATTACCCTCCAAACCACATGCCGAACCACATGCCGAACCAGATGCCAAACCAGATGCTACAACTGCCTACTCAGGGGGCTTATGGTAGCGCTGGTGGCATGGGTGCTGGGATAGGCGTGGGTGGAGGTCCCAACTACCCCCAGTCCCCTACGCCTGATTTCTGCAGCCCCACGGTTCCACCGGAGTTGCAGTGGGACGGGGTTAGCGCAAAGATGGCCCCTCCACAGCAGTTACAGCAGCAGCAGGTGCAGCAGGTGCAGGGGCAGAAGCCGCAGCGGCAGCACCGGCTTTCTCTCTCCCAGCAGCAGCAGCAGCAGCAGGGGGGGGCGGGGCTGGCTCCGTTGCGCCGTGTGCACACCGGTACGCCCTGCCAGCCTGCCTCCCTCCCTCCCACCGCTGCCCTGCCTCTCCGCCGCTCTGTCTCCGGCTCAACCGCTCGCACTCACACCAACGCTGCCAACCCCGCTGCCACAGCAGCAGCAGCAGCTGGGTCCAGCCCTGTGCCCTCATCTCTCGGCGGCGATTCTGAGGTGTCTGAGGCGTATGGGGACCTGTACCCATCTGGAGCTGGCGCTGGCGGCTCTTCTTCTAGGCCCAACTCCGCTGCCTCATCTGCTGCTGCTTCCGCCCCTGCGTCTGCTTCTGCTTCTCCTGTTCCTGCTTCCCTGAGCAGCAGCGGCAGTGGGGTTTCTCCTGGCATTCCAAGCGGCTCCACAGCAGCAGCAGGAGGGGGAGGGGGGGGAAGTCCGTTTCGCAAACCGTTCCCGCCCCTCCCTGCTCTGCAGATCCCGTTCAATTCCGCTGACAGTCCCCGCGCCCCGCCCCCTGCTGTGCACCCCTCCATGCTCTCTCCTGCCAGCCTGGAAGCTGCTATCAAGGGCAAGGGTGGGGCCCTGCCCCCTGGGGGCATAGCAATTGCGCCAGGGGGAGGGGTAGGGGGAGGGGGAGGGGAGGGGGAGGACAGTCTGGTGGGGTGGTGGCTGGAGCAGGTTCATCTGGAGGTGCAGGGGCAGGCGAGAAGGGTGGGAAGGTGCGGGATGCAACCAAGAAGGTGAAGAAGGCGCAGCAAGGGGAGGAGAAAGGCCGGTCTGTGCTGCCATTGTCATCATCGCTGGGGCCGGCAGCTGCAGCAGGGGGGGGAGGAGGGGCAGGAAGAGGAGGGGGAGGAGGTGCAACAAAGGTTGCTACTTCCAGGTCTTTGGAAAGTGACGTTGGTGGTGGTGGTGGTGGTGGTGGGGCAAGTGGGGGGAAGGTGCGGGGGATTAGAAAGAGCCAAACCACCAAGCAGTGATACTTCCCTGCCCGAGCTCTCGCTCCCACCAGCCAAGCACGGCTGCTTCTCCACCTGGGGAATTCACGAAGCACTGATGCCTCTCTCTCTCTCTCTCTCTCTCTCTCTCTCTCTCTCTCCCACACACACTCACTGAGGCAGCGCTGCACGCACTTACGCTTATATTCTCTCTTCTCCTCCACTACAAGACTGCACCGCTCTGCCGCCAACACACTTTCTCCCTGACTGGAACTTTTTTTTCCTGACTGGACTACGACAGTACACTGAACCACTCTGCACCGCACTGTGCTGAAAAGCCACTCCACCTCATTACGCAACCCACGTTTCACTTCGATCACTCCCACTGACTGCCCACCATAACCCTGTGACCACCATCACTTCATGGACCACTAATTCTTACCCACTACGCATCATTTTTTATTCTGCTCATTTGCCTGTTTCTACCCTCGTCCTTCTGGTATTATGACTGTGTCACCCTTTGTTCTCACCCCACAACCCCTCTACTGAATCCTGGCTAACCCACTCTTTCTGCTTACTTTCTGCTAAAGCTCCGTATGCCCTAACCCGCTCTTTCCCGCTTCCCTCCCTGATTATGCAACTAGTGGCCGGTTGCCTTTTGTCCCTCCTGAACTGGACTGGACTCTGGAGTCCTCCTGCCCCTCCCGTGGCAGCCTTGTTGTGGGTGATGTGATGTCCCATCTCAGCCTTGTACCGGTGCTTTGCACACAGGCATTCCTTGACTGGTTCCTGCAGTTTGCTAGTGGATGTATTTATGGTACAGTACCACCTGTTGCATGTAAGTAATGCACTGTGATAAGGTTGCTTGAAGGGTGCCCACTTCAGTAGCTCTAGTGGTTGCCGGTAAAGGAAGAGGTTCTAGTGCACGCACTGTTATGCGCAGTAATGAAGTTGAAACTTGGAAGTGCCATGCATCTAGAAACCTGCACAGGCCAGGGTACAGTTCGGTAATATTTTATAGCAGCAGCCCACGTTAGAGAGCAGTAACCACCAAATTCGTACCCGATGCCAGTGAACCATTGCTACTAATTTGCCGGTCTCCAGCAACAGCACCACCCAACAGCGAAATCATGTCTGTCCTGCCATCCTCCTGGCAGTGAAATCAAGTCTCCACCTCCTGGCGCTGGTCTCTGGAACCCTGAACCATGGACGGTAGATCTCAGGAAAGCTCTCATGGCAGATTCAGCCATTTACCATATTCAGCTGAAATCCTCAGAGCTCTTAGTAGAAACTTCTAGTGCTTCAGAAAAATACTGCTCCGCCACTCTGCTTCATGCACCAGGATAGGGCAAAGACGGGTTGTCAGGGAGGAGGAAATCAGAACACGATGCAAAAGCTCGAAGTGAAACGTATAGGTAGCACTTTGTGAAGAAAAGAAGCGAATGGGGTCGAGGGAGGGGACCTTTTAAATGGTAGCAAGATGTTGCAAATGCTTATACTGAAAGGAAGGGATGACATACCGCTATCAGATCAATCTCTTCGTCGGTCATGGGCCTTCGCCTGGGTTGCAAGCTTGCTGCTTGTGGCCCCAGCTCCTTGGGATTCGTTTTCCCCACGACCTGCACACCAGTGCCGGAAACTGCAGACGGTGCTTTTACCGGAGCTGCTTGTGAAGAGGATAAAGGAGAGCTGACTGATGGAGTGGACGATGCGTGTGACGTGGCTGGTGTTGACGATTTTGCGGATGCTCCTGATGATGCTGGCGCTGATGTTGATTGGCGAGCAATAGTAGGCGAAGGGGTGGTGCTTTGGGAGGCCTGTGCTGCCGCTGGTGTTGGACCTGATAGTGATGGTGGGAATCAGGACACATCGACGGAAGAGGCAAGAGCAGAATACTCAGTGAAAGCAGCGTGAAAATGGTCCAGAGGACGGGAAACCAAACCGTCGCTTAAAAAGACTACAATGAAAGAGGGTTGCTATAACATGATTCGACCGACGCTCACCTCGAGACCGGATTGGGAACTTTATCGAAGGAATGCGTCTTGCCATCGTGAGAGGAACCAACCAGAGACCGATATGATAGCCCTTCGCTTTTTCGGTCCAACCAGCTAAAGAGCTAAACTAGAGAGCTGCTTGACACAAAAGAAAAAAGGGTCCGAAGCAGCTACGTCGCTGCTGCTTGACGGGAAAAGAAGAAACAAAGCCTATCAGCAGACGAGGGGGAAGAAACCAGCATCGGTGAATAGGAACAAGCAAGCAGAATAAGAACCAGCGACCAGAGAAGTACTATCCCAATGCTTCTACATGCTGCTTGGGTGTCTCAGGGCGCGTCTCTAGCGGCAAGCGTGTCACGAAAAAAACGTGTCAAATCTACACAGCTAGCCCTGAAAAACAATCCCGTGACACGCTACTGCGTGACACCGTGTCAGGCAGAGACGCGCTCTCACGAATTTATGATTTTCAGCCTAAATTTTGCCGTCGTCTGTTGCCTCTGTGAAGAAATTCAGGGTCTGACTGAGGCCTGAAATATCCTCACCATAGCTGTAAAGATTTCGTCATAAGGGCGTGTCACAGAAGGACGTTTGATTGCGGTTGGGTGAGATGCTCGCTGATTAAAAAGGGTCAAATAACAAGTTGAAACGGTTGGATAGGGCTTTAGCTCGAAACCCACGCCTGGGACGTTCTGAAGTGCAGCCATTGCTCAACCGAAGTGCAGCCAGCGTTCAGCCTTGTTTCGTTTCACTTAGCCCGAAAAGCACCCACGTTGTTACAAATGACACCTAGTCCCAGAACTTGGCTTTCAGGGAAATTCAGGTATACCTTATGATGACCCTGTACTGAGCTTTGGAATTTCACACATGGGAGGGTAAATCACCCCGTCAGAACCCACCCCTCCCGCAGCCCTCTTTTCTCTGCTTGCCTGTTCTGAAGGTTGGAACCTAAATGGAGACAGGAGATTTTTTTTGGAGCTAGCTGTAAACTGGTGTTTGTTCATACGCGATAGACGATTCATCTTTCCTTAGATCGGACGCTTCTCTTCTTTTGACTAGGCAAGCATCTCACCCAATCGCTGGTGCAAGCATACTTCGACGCTGCTTCTTAACACGCCTCCACCAGGAAATCAGGGTTCCTCAAGCCAGCAGCCATGGGTGAGCGAAAGGTCCTCAACAAGTACTACCCGCCGGACTTCGATCCGTCGAAGATCCCGAAGCGCATCCCGCTGAAGAATGAGCAGATGAAAGTTCGCATGATGCTTCCGATGAGCATCCGATGCAACACCTGCGGGACGTACATGTACAAGGGGACGAAATTCAACTGCCGGAAAGAGGACGTCGTCGGGGATACCTACCTCGGTCTCTTGAAATTCCGCTTCTATTTCAAGTGCACTAAGTGTTCTGCTGAGATGGTCATGAAGACGGATCCGAAGAACAGCGACTACGAAATGGAGTCGGGAGCTTCTAGGAACTTCGAGCCATGGCGAGCGTCGGACGAGCAGAAGGCGTCCGCGAAGCGACAGCGAGAGGAGGAAGAAATGGGCGACGCTATGCGCGCTCTCGAGAATCGAACCCTCGACTCCAAGATGGAGATGGACATTCTCGCCGCGCTGGACGAAATGAAATCCATGCGTGCGCGGCAAGCGACCCTCGATCCAGCAGCAGTCCTGGAGGTTCTTCAAAGATCGGCGGGTGGAGCCGGCGGGAGCGGAGGGGTATTAGCGGATCCGAAGCAACTAACCGAAGAAGACGAGGAGATGATTAAGAAGATTGTTTTCCGAAAATCGGAGAAATTTGTGAAGCGGATAGAGAGTGACGAGGAGGATGACGCGGAGGAGGGGGATGGAGGAGAAGCGAGGTCCTTAAATAAGGATTTTGGAGCGGTTAAGAGGTCTCGTACTGACCGTATTGGCACCAATGTCGCTGTAGCCAATGAAGGGGATGTTGCTGGAAGTAAAACTATGCAGTCAAGGGCGGAAGGGGAAGCATCCGCATCTGCTGGGGTGGAAGCAGTAGATGCGGAATCAGGCACACTCAGAGGCAGTACGGACACGATACCGGCCAGTTCAGCAGCAGCTGGAGGAAATGGTTCAGCGTCGGAGAAGCGACTCAGCAGATTCGTCCAGGACGACCCTCGGCCGGCCTTTGAAGCCAAGCCTGTGAAGGTGGCGTTTATGGTGAAGGCAAAGAGCAAGGTTACAGATGGGGAGGCATTGAGGACCAAGGATTCTAGAGGGAGCTCTGGTGCTGAAACCACCACAGGCAACGTTGATAGTTTGCCTCAGGCCCAAGCAGGTCAAGCAGGTCAAGCAGGTCAAGCAGGTCAGGGGGCTTCCGGTGGGGGTGCATCTGAGTTAGTAGAGGACAAGGAGAAAGGGAAAGCTGCGTTAACCAGCCTGCTATCAGCGTATGGTTCCGATGAGGACGAAGAGGAGTGAGGAGAGGAGTGGGGCAAGATACTGGAGATTCTACCTGGACTGTCGCAATGTGGCACGTATCTCAAACCTTGAGCATGGTGGTTGTTCAATATTGGTAACTGTAACTGAAAGCAGGTTTTAACATGTACCTTGCATGTTTTTAATTGGTTTTAACTACTTTATGTTGATTGGACAGCCCATCAACTGCGGTACCTCTGCATGCTGATATTATCAACAAAAGCTACAGCTTATAAAGCATAACGATGATACGTGGCATGCAATTACGATAGATCCACACAAATCAGGTTCGTAAGAGCACACAACCTGCTGTCAAGAAATACATTCCAGCCACCCAGGACTGAAGCCTGAAAGCATCACTGCAGTGTGGTCCATGAATAGGTAGAAAGACTTGACTGCCATTGCGAGTGGCAGAAGCCAAGGGCCAAACTGATTAAAAAGCTAGGGTAGAGGGGGGCTTGTCTTGTCTGCTTTGCGTGGTTACATCATACTGCATACTGGTACCATACTTGGGAGAGATTCAAATCAAACGTCTGCTGCTCATCACCCTCCGCGCTTCACTGCTCACAGCTCTTTGTGCTGCAGGTACTGTTTGTTGCAGTCTTTAAGCGCATTGTACGAAGTGCACAGTAGGAGCAGAGCACACCGCACAGGCGCACTGCATCTGTGCCTTTAACGCAGGGCTTGGGTGTTGGCATTGCGCTTTGGAGGCAGCTTGCGCAGGATGTAGAGCACCAGCGCTGCTGGGACGAGCTCCACACACTGCATGAGGGGGGAAGGGGGGGCAAGCAATGGGGAACAGTGGGCAAGAGAGGGGCAGGCAGCTTTGGAGGCAGCTTGCGCAGGATGTAGAGCATTGGTGCTGCTGGAACGAAGGGGTGGGGGGAGGGGGGGAGGGGGAAATGAAAAAGAGGATGAGGAGGGGAAGAAGGGGGGGGGGGGGGGGGGAGGAAACGGAGAGTCAGGCAGGATGCAAAGGAGCTTTGGAGGCAGCTTGCGCAGGATGAAGAGCACCAGCACTGCTGGAACGAGCTCTACGCACTGGGAAGGGGGGTTTGATTGGGAGGAGAGGGGGGTTGTGTAACCGAGGGAGAATGGATAATGGAAGGGCATGAGCCGATAAAGGGCGAGAGCCAATCAAGGGCATGAGCCGTCAGATAAGTGCATGAAGAGAAGAATGAGCCGCTGAAAAGGTTGGAAAAGGTGGTGCAGATAAGTGCAGCAGAAGGAGAAGGAAGGAAGGAAGATTAGAGGACGCAGGAGAAGGTGGCGGACAGATTATGCCTTGCTAGGAGGCATAGCAAATCAGGAAGGATGGTGTGGGTGGGAGGGTTCTTATGAGTCGACTCAAAAGAAGGAGGGTGTGGGCGGGTAACTTCTTACAGCATAGTAAGCAACGTTGAGCCAGGGGTCACCGACCACGTCGAGCCATGATGACTTCACGAGAGCTGAATAGGCGATCTGAGTAAAAGAAACCGAGGTGAGAGGGGGAGGGGGAGGAAAAGAAAAGGAGAGAAAAGAGAGAGAGAGAAAGGGAGGGGAAATGAGAGAGGAAACGAGAGAGGAAGGGAGAGAGGAAGAGAGAGAGGAAAAGAGAGGAAGAGAGAGAGGAAGAGAGAGAGGAAGAGAGAGAGGAAGAGAGAGAGGAAGGTGCACATGAGAGAATATAGAGGTGGGAGAGGGGCACAGCAGGCGAGGGGACTGGCTGCACATGCTGCACGGCAAATGTCCAGTCCAGCGCACTCCCGTTTGAAAAAGCGGTACTCACCACAGCAGCTCGGACAATGAAGCAGGTGAAGCAGATGAGAGTGACAAAGCCAACCTGCAATGCCCGCAAGCACAACAAACAGGCCATGAGGATTAGTTTGGTTACGACAGTTGTGAGTGTTAACTGTTCCTGTGTTACTGTGTTATGTAACACGTTACGTCCAATAGCTTGCTTCTGCCCACATGCACCGCTCACCTAGTGTAGCTTCTATCTGCGACCTGGGGACTCAATGGGGAACTGCTGCAGCATGAGTCTTGCCTCCCAACAACCAGGGAACACCCAGCCCACACAACTGGCATGCACAGGTAAGGAGCTCACCTCGTGCAGCTCAACACCACAGGCATATGCAAGCACCCTCCTCATGCAGCTTCTTTCTGCGCCCCTGCAGCTCCATGCGGGCGAAGTGTGCTGTCTTCAGGTGCAAAGCCCACCCAACAACCAGTGAGCACCCAGCCCCTATATCAGCCACGCACAGCACAGGCCAGGAGCTCACCTCGTGCAGCTTCTTTCTGCGGCCCCGGGACTCGATGGGGAACTGCCGCAGCATGAGGAAGAGCCTGGGGTTGGGGGGGGGGGGGGGGGCGAAGAGAAAGAGGGGGAAGAGAGTGCGGGCGGGAAGGAGGAGGGGAAATGAAAGGGAGACTCGATGGGGAACTGCCGCAGCATGGAGAAGAGCCTGTGGGGGGGAGGGGGAGTGAGGTAGAGAGGGGATGAGGGAGGGTAGAATGGCGGGAAGGGGGGAGGGGGAGGGGGGAGGGGGGAGGGGGCGAGGGAGGGAAAGAGAGGTGACGGCAACAGTGAATGAGAGACCCGGTGGGAACTGCCGCAGCATGAAAAAGAGCTTGGAGGGGGGCGGGGAGGGTGGGGTGGGGTGGGGTGGGCCCAGGGAGGGAGGGGGAAGAGAGTGTGGGAGGAAGGAGGCGAAGCAAATGAGAGACTTGATTGGAAAACGAGGCGACTTCTGAGTCAACTCAAAAGTCGCCAGGGCGAGAGGGGGAAGAGAGTGTGGGAGGGAGGAGGCGAAGCGAATGAGAGACCCTAAGGGAACTGCCGCAGCATGAAGAAGAGCTCGGAGGGGGGCGGCGAGGGGGAGCTTCAAGGAAAAAAAGAGGAGTGGGGAATACTGGAAAGGAAGCAGGAAGCCTAGTCTTGAAGTGCCCAGTAACGTACCTGCCGCCATAGAGAAGGAAGCCTGCTGCAGCTGTTAGCGAGACAGCTGCAGTACAAGGCAAGGGAAAGGGTAGAAGGGGTGGACGCGGGAGGGGAATGAGTGTGAGAATACCAGCGCCAGAATACAACTGCTGCCATAAAGAAGGAAGCCTGCTGCAGGTGCTACAGAGACAGCTGCGATACGAGGAAGGGGATAGGGCAGGTGGGGTGAAAGGAGGGGGGGGGGGATGTAAGAACACCCGGCGATAAAATACAACTGCTGCATTAAAGAAGGAAGCCTGCTGCAGGTGCTACAGAGACAGCTGCGATACGAGGAACGGGAAAGGGCAGGGGTCGTAAGGAGAGCAGGGAAAGGCGTGCAATGGATAGGACAAGGAGTGTATAGAGAGAAGCTAGAAACAGGAGAGGGGGGGATACAGGGCGGGACGGGCGGAAGCTGGGGGGCTAGGTCGTGGAGCGGTGCTCCCTCCCTAGCAACTGACTGGTGAAGAGGAGTTTGACTTTTGAGTCGACTCAAACGTCAGCTTTTGAGTGAACTCAGAAGAGTCTACTGCTGAGGCGCCTCAAAGTGGTGCTTTCTAGCAACTGACCAGTGAAGACGAGTCTATTGCTGACCAGTGAAGACGACTCTATTGCTGACCAGTGAAGACGAGTCTATTGCAGACCAGTGAAGACGAGTCTATTGCTGACCAGTGAAGACGAGTCTATTGCTGACCAGTGAAGACGAGTCTATTGCTGACCAGTGAAGACGAGTCTATTGCTGACCAGTGAAGACGACTCTATTGCTGACCAGTGAAGACGAGTCTATTGCTGACCAGTGAAGACGAGTCTATTGCTGACCAGTGAAGACGAGTCTATTGCTGACCAGTGAAGACGAGTCTATTGCTGACCAGTGAAGACGAGTCTATTGCTGACCAGTGAAGACGAGTCTATTGCTGACCAGTGAAGACGAGTCTATTGCTGACCAGTGGAGAGGACGGAGGGTCTATGCTGACCAGTGAAGACGAGTCTATTGCTGACCAGTGAAGACGAGTCTATTGCTGACCAGTGAAGACGAGTCTATTGCTGACCAGTGAAGACGAGTCTATTGCTGACCAGTGAAGACGAGTCTATTGCTGACCAGTGAAGACGAGTCTATTGCTGACCAGTGAAGACGAGTCTATTGCTGACCAGTGAAGACGAGTCTATTGCTGAACCAGTGAAGACGAGTCTATTGCTGACCAGTGAAGACGAGTCTATTGCTGACCAGTGAAGACGAGTCTATTGCTGACCAGTGAAGACGAGTCTATTGCTGACCAGTGAAGACGAGTCTATTGCTGACCAGTGAAGACGAGTCTATTGCTGACCAGTGAAGACGAGTCTATTGCTGGACCAGTGAAGACGAGTCTATTGCTGACCAGTGAAGACGAGTCTATTGCTGACCAGTGAAGACGAGTCTATTGCTGACCAGTGAAGACGAGTCTATTGCTGACCAGTGAAGACGAGTCTATTGCTGACCAGTGAAGACGAGTCTATTGCTGACCAGTGAAGACGAGTCTATTGCTGACCAGTGAAGACGAGTCTATTGCTGACCAGTGAAGACGAGTCTATTGCTGACCAGTGAAGACGAGTCTATTGCTGACCAGTGAAGACGAGTCTATTGCTGACCAGTGAAGACGAGTCTATTGCTGACCAGTGAAGACGAGTCTATTGCTGACCAGTGAAGACGAGTCTATTGCTGACCAGTGAAGACGAGTCTATTGGCTGACCAGTGAAGACGAGTCTATTGCTGACCAGTGAAGACGAGTCTATTGCTGACCAGTGAAGACGAGTCTATTGCTGACCAGTGAAGACGAGTCTATTGCTGACCAGTGGACAGTTATTGCCAGTGAAGACGAGTCTATTGCTGACCAGTGAAGACGAGTCTATTGCTGACCAGTGAAGACGAGTCTATTGCTGACCAGTGAAGACGAGTCTATTGCTGACCAGTGAAGACGAGTCTATTGCTGACCAGTGAAGACGAGTCTATTGCTGACCAGTGAAGACGAGTCTATTGCTGACCAGTGAAGACGAGTCTATTGCTGACCAGTGAAGACGAGTCTATTGCTGACCAGTGAAGACGAGTCTATTGCTGACCAGTGAAGACGAGTCTATTGCTGACCAGTGAAGACGAGTCTATTGCTGACCAGTGAAGACGAGTCTATTGCTGACATGGACGATCTATGGTGAAGACGAGTCTATTGCTGACCAGTGAAGACGAGTCTATTGCTGACCAGTGAAGACGAGTCTATTGCTGACCAGTGAAGACGAGTCTATTGCTGACCAGTGAAGACGAGTCTATTGCTGACCAGTGAAGACGAGTCTATTGCTGACCAGTGAAGACGAGTCTATTGCTGACCAGTGAAGACGAGTCTATTGCTGACCAGTGAAGACGAGTCTATTGCTGACCAGTGAAGACGAGTCTATTGCTGACCAGTGAAGACGAGTCTATTGCTGACCAGTGAAGACGAGTCTATTGCTGACCAGTGAAGACGAGTCTATTGCTGACCAGTGAAGACGAGTCTATTGCTGACCAGTGAAGACGAGTCTATTGCTGACCAGTGAAGACGAGTAACGAGTCTATTGCTGACCAGTGAAGACGAGTCTATTGCTGACCAGTGAAGACGAGTCTATTGCTGACCAGTGAAGACGAGTCTATTGCTGACCAGTGAAGACGAGTCTATTGCTGACCAGTGAAGACGAGTCTATTGCTGACCAGTGAAGACGAGTCTATTGCTGACCAGTGAAGACGAGTCTATTGCTGACCAGTGAAGACGAGTCTATTGCTGACCAGTGAAGACGAGTCTATTGCTGACCAGTGAAGACGAGTCTATTGCTGACCAGTGAAGACGAGTCTATTGCTGACCAGTGAAGACGAGTCTATTGCTGACCAGTGAAGACGAGTCTATTGCTGACCAGTGAAGACGAGTCTATTGCTGACCAGTGAAGACGAGTCTATTGCTGACCAGTGAAGACGAGTCTATTGCTGACCAGTGAAGACGAGTCTATTGCTGACCAGTGAAGACGAGTCTATTGCTGACCAGTGAAGACGAGTCTATTGCTGACCAGTGAAGACGAGTCTATTGCTGACCAGTGAAGACGAGTCTATTGCTGACCAGTGAAGACGAGTCTATTGCTGACCAGTGAAGACGAGTCTATTGCTGACCAGTGAAGACGAGTCTATTGCTGACCAGTTGAAGACGAGTCTATTGCTGACCAGTGAAGACGAGTCTATTGCTGACCAGTGAAGACGAGTCTATTGCTGACCAGTGAAGACGAGTCTATGTGGGAAGAGAGTCTATTGCTGACCAGTGAAGACGAGTCTATTGCTGACCAGTGAAGACGAGTCTATTGCTGACCAGTGAAGACGAGTCTATTGCTGACCAGTGAAGACGAGTCTATTGCTGACCAGTGAAGACGAGTCTATTGCTGACCAGTGAAGACGAGTCTATTGCTGACCAGTGAAGACGAGTCTATTGCTGACCAGTGAAGACGAGTCTATTGCTGACCAGTGAAGACGAGTCTATTGCTGACCAGTGAAGACGAGTCTATTGCTGACCAGTGAAGACGAGTCTATTGCTGACCAGTGAAGACGAGTCTATTGCTGACCAGTGAAGACGAGTCTATTGCTGACCAGTGAAGACGAGTCTATTGCTGACCAGTGAAGACGAGTCTATTGCTGACCAGTGAAGACGAGTCTATTGCTGACCAGTGAAGACGAGTCTATTGCTGACCAGTGAAGACGAGTCTATTGCTGACCAGTGAAGACGAGTCTATTGCTGACCAGTGAAGACGAGTCTATTGCTGACCAGTGAAGACGAGTCTATTGCTGACCAGTGAAGACGAGTCTATTGCTGACCAGTGAAGACGAGTCTATTGCTGACCAGTGAAGACGAGTCTATTGCTGACCAGTGAAGACGAGTCTATTGCTGACCAGTGAAGACGAGTCTATTGCTGACCAGTGAAGACGAGTCTATTGCTGACCAGTGAAGACGAGTCTATTGCTGACCAGTGAAGACGAGTCTATTGCTGACCAGTGAAGACGAGTCTATTGCTGACCAGTGAAGACGAGTCTATTGCTGACCAGTGAAGACGAGTCTATTGCTGACCAGTGAAGACGAGTCTATTGCTGACCAGTGAAGACGAGTCTATTGCTGACCAGTGAAGACGAGTCTATTGCTGACCAGTGAAGACGAGTCTATTGCTGACCAGTGAAGACGAGTCTATTGCTGACCAGTGAAGACGAGTCTATTGCTGACCAGTGAAGACGAGTCTATTGCTGACCAGTGAAGACGAGTCTATTGCTGACCAGTGAAGACGAGTCTATTGCTGACCAGTGAAGACGAGTCTATTGCTGACCAGTGAAGACGAGTCTATTGCTGACCAGTGAAGACGAGTCTATTGCTGACCAGTGAAGACGAGTCTATTGCTGACCAGTGAAGACGAGTCTATTGCTGACCAGTGAAGACGAGTCTATTGCTGACCAGTGAAGACGAGTCTATTGCTGACCAGTGAAGACGAGTCTATTGCTGACCAGTGAAGACGAGTCTATTGCTGACCAGTGAAGACGAGTCTATTGCTGACCAGTGAAGACGAGTCTATTGCTGACCAGTGAAGACGAGTCTATTGCTGACCAGTGAAGACGAGTCTATTGCTGACCAGTGAAGACGAGTCTATTGCTGACCAGTGAAGACGAGTCTATTGCTGACCAGTGAAGACGAGTCTATTGCTGACCAGTGAAGACGAGTCTATTGCTGACCAGTGAAGACGAGTCTATTGCTGACCAGTGAAGACGAGTCTATTGCTCGGACGCAGCTGAAAGACGAGTCTATTGCTGACCAGTGAAGACGAGTCTATTGCTGACCAGTGAAGACGAGTCTATTGCTGACCAGTGAAGACGAGTCTATTGCTGACCAGTGAAGACGAGTCTATTGCTGACCAGTGAAGACGAGTCTATTGCTGACCAGTGAAGACGAGTCTATTGCTGACCAGTGAAGACGAGTCTATTGCTGACCAGTGAAGACGAGTCTATTGCTGACCAGTGAAGACGAGTCTATTGCTGACCAGTGAAGACGAGTCTATTGCTGACCAGTGAAGACGAGTCTATTGCTGACCAGTGAAGACGAGTCTATTGCTGACCAGTGAAGACGAGTCTATTGCTGACCAGTGAAGACGAGTCTATTGCTGACCAGTGAAGACGAGTCTATTGCTGACCAGTGAAGACGAGTCTATTGCTGACCAGTGAAGACGAGTCTATTGCTGACCAGTGAAGACGAGTCTATTGCTGACCAGTGAAGACGAGTCTATTGCTGACCAGTGAAGACGAGTCTATTGCTGACCAGTGAAAGACGAGTCTATTGCTGACCAGTGAAGACGAGTCTATTGCTGACCAGTGAAGACGAGTCTATTGCTGACCAGTGAAGACGAGTCTATTGCTGACCAGTGAAGACGAGTCTATTGCTGACCAGTGAAGACGAGTCTATTGCTGACCAGTGAAGACGAGTCTATTGCTGACCAGTGAAGACGAGTCTATTGCTGACCAGTGAAGACGAGTCTATTGCTGACCAGTGAAGACGAGTCTATTGCTGACCAGTGAAGACGAGTCTATTGCTGACCAGTGAAGACGAGTCTATTGCTGACCAGTGAAGACGAGTCTATTGCTGACCAGTGAAGACGAGTCTATTGCTGACCAGTGAAGACGAGTCTATTGCTGACCAGTGAAGACGAGTCTATTGCTGACCAGTGAAGACGAGTCTATTGCTGACCAGTGAAGACGAGTCTATTGCTGACCAGTGAAGACGAGTCTATTGCTGACCAGTGAAGACGAGTCTATTGCTGACCAGTGAAGACGAGTCTATTGCTGACCAGTGAAGACGAGTCATTAAAAATATTGCTGACCAGTGAAGACGAGTCTATTGCTGACCAGTGAAGACGAGTCTATTGCTGACCAGTGAAGACGAGTTATGCTGACCAGTGAAGACGAGTCTATTGCTGACCAGTGAAGACGAGTCTATTGCTGACCAGTGAAGACGAGTCTATTGCTGACCAGTGAAGACGAGTCTATTGCTGACCAGTGAAGACGAGTCTATTGCTGACCAGTGAAGACGAGTCTATTGCTGACCAGTGAAGACGAGTCTATTGCTGACCAGTGAAGACGAGTCTATTGCTGACCAGTGAAGACGAGTCTATTGCTGACCAGTGAAGACGAGTCTATTGCTGACCAGTGAAGACGAGTCTATTGCTGACCAGTGAAGACGAGTCTATTGCTGACCAGTGAGACGAGTCTATTGCTGACCAGTGAAGACGAGTCTATTTGCTGACCAGTGAAGACGAGTCTATTGCTGAGGCGCCTCAAAGTGGTGCTCCCTAGCTACTGACCGGTGAAAAAAGAGTTTGGCGATCATATCAATGGTGACCAGATCCTTGAAGTCGAACCACATGACGCCCCATATGGAAGCCTGGAAGGAACGAGAAGGGGTGCACCGTGCAGTGCATGCAAGGGCCGACAGAGAATACAGATGGGAGAGAAGGGAGAGGAGGGGGGGTTGGGGGATGGTGGGGAGGAGAGGCAACAGGAGGAACGGGAGAAGGCGAGGGAGGTCAGTAGAGAGAGAGTGGCCAGTTGTGGGCATGCCCTTGTGATCGAAGCATATGACGCCCCAGATGGCGGTCTGGATGAGGGGAGAGAAAAGTGAAGGGGGGGGGGGTGGGGAAGTGGGAGGGGGGAAGAGGAGGAGGGGAGGAGGAGAATATGATGAAGGAAGGGGAGAAGGTGAGGGAGGTAGACGGTGGGCACATGACGCCCCTGATTGTTAATTACCTGGTGATGAGAGTCTAGTTCTGCGGAAGGGGGAAAGGAAAGGAACAAATCCATAACACGTGATTCTAGGACCCAACGCCCCCCTCACCTGCATTGCAGCACGTAGACGCCAACGTTGGCCACCATGATGTACGGCCGCAGCGCAGACTATCAGTGGGTAGCCCATGTATATCAACGCTCCCATACTCACTCTCCAGGCGAAACGACTCACTCACCTGCAGCACGTAGACGCCGACATTGGCGACCATGAAGTATGGCCGCAGATTGTCCGTCGGTAGCCCACGGGCCTGAAAGAGGTTGCGGGAGACGTAGGGGGGCAATGCGCGACAATAACAATGTTCGACCATCGGCTTAAGGTAAGGCGCGCTGCATGATATTCTGCATATGCTGCACGGAAAGCGGATGCTTGAAGCGTGAGGCAAACGTAAGGTAAGACGATCAGTCGCATACGCTGCACGGAAAGAAAACACATGACGCATGTTACAACAGAGCATGGGCACAATCGAACGGCTATCAGATGCTCAACTGATGGGAGATTTCCGCCCACAACAGCACGAGCAGGCTGCAGGGTGAATAACTGGAAGCGTGTAAGTGGGAAAGAGTTGCGTGGTAAATACCGCCAGGCCAGGCTCCAGCCCGCCCTCACCTGGTGGCGGGACTCACCTGATGGGCTCACCTGCTGCTGCTGGTGCTCACCTGGTGGTAGATCTCGGCCGAGAAAGCACGAGCAGGCTGCAGGCGATTAACAGGAAGCGTGTGAGTGGAACAGAGCTGGGCGGTAAATACCATCAGCAGTCACCTGGTGGTGCCCACCTGATGGTAGATCTCGGCCCAGAAGAGCACAAGCAGAGTGTACGTGGTGAAGAAGAGAAGACCGGGGAGGTCCAGAAGCATGTGCGCGAACACCTGGGGAAGGGAAGCAAAAGAGGGCAACGGAACTTTTGAGTCGACAAAAGAATCACAGCAGAGTGTGGGTGGTGACGAAGAGAAGGCCAAGGAGGTCCAGAAGCATGTGCGCGAACACCTTTGGAAGGGAGACAAAAGAGGTGAAAGAAACGAAGACGGCAACAGAGTGGGAGGTAAACACCACAGCATGCACTACGGTACGGGCGCATGCACAGCAAGCTACAGCCAGCCGGCTGGCTGGGCACACAACCATACTGATATGGCAGCGTTGCGTCAAGGCACTGACTTATGAAACACATCACATGCTTGGGAGCCGGCCATGGAATCAGGAAGTCACACTGGCATTGCCACATCAAATCAGGGAAGGAAGCGACTCACCTGCTTCTGCCCCTCGTTGAGGGTCGTTACCTGCTCCCGGAAGAGAAAAACACTGGAAAGACTACGGAAGACAAGACTCGGAAGGGATCAAGACTTTCAATTCAACAGACATTGCCACATGAGTGTTGGAAAGCGACTCACCTGCTTCTGCCCCTCGTTGAGGATCGCCACCCGCTCCCGGAGAAGTGAAACACTGGAACGACTACGGAAGACAAGACTCGGAAGGGATCAAGACTTTCAATTCAACAGACATTGCCACATGAGTGTTGGAAAGCGACTCACCTGCTTCTTCCCCTCGCTGAGGATCGCCACCTGCTCCCGGAGAAGTGAAACACTGGAACGACTACGCAAGACAAGACTCGGAAGGGATCAAGAATTTCAGGAGACATTGCCACATGAGTATCGGAAAGCGACTCACATGTTTCGGCCCATCGCTGCTGAGGTCTGCCACCCTCTCCCTGAAGAGAAAGACCACGGGCCCGCACTGGTGGGGGGGAGGGGGGGGAGGGGCACACACGGAACAAATGCATGCTGACACATCACACCCTCACTGTCACACCATTCGAATCCGCGCTGAGGGGGAAATACCACCGCCAGCGCCACCGGAAAAGAAACACTACCGCTCACACTGCCAGGAGGGGGTGGGGGAATGGAAACAACAACTTGACGAGGAACCGTGGATGCGTCAGGGAGCGAATAAGCGGGAGCGAAAGCGACCGTGTGCGAGCGAATGATTGCGAGCAGACGAAAAGAAGCGAAAATATCGGTGTGAGCGAATGATGGCGAGCAAGGGACAACTGGCGAACGAGTCGTGACGAGTGAATGGTTCAAGCGAACAAAAGCATGCGATAGATCGTGCGCGCTTAGACGCGTGGGGATGCGTTTGGGGGGGGGGGGGGGTGGGGGCAGCGGAGGGAGCTGGCGGGACGAAAGGGAAGGATCGAAACGGACGGAGACCAATGCCGGAGAAAACGAAGAGAGTCGGAGCGAGGGGAAACGTCGACGGCCACAACGTGCAGGCGCTGACGACGAAGTTGAGGAGGTGGAAGACCTTCTGCATGGTCCAGCCGTGCGGAGACTATGACAAGGAGCAGAGGCGGGATGCGACGGAACATTAGAATGACGGGAGAGGTTAGGTTCACAGCTATATCGACGACGTACATGCGTTGACGACGAAGTTGAGGAGGTGGAAGACCTTCTGCGTGGTCCAGCCGTACTCCGGCACTCGGCGCTGAATGCGAATGAGCTGGATCTGAAACCATGCAAAATAACAAAAATACAATGATAAAAAGATGAAAATAGTAGCCAAGGAACAGCCATTGTCAACGAGCTGGTGGTGAGACTACATGCTACACCGGCCCCACCAGCCAGTGAGACTGGTACTGAGCCGTCGATGTGGACTGGGAACGTGAAAAACGTTGGAAACAAACGACGACAAGATCATTGAAAGACCTCCTTGAGCCGGGATACAGAAAGTCTTGACGCTTAACGTCCAGATTTTTATCAGGCAATGAACCGAGAGGATTAAGCAAACGACGGCACTCCGCTAGCCGATCTGATCACCGGAATGCTATAATTTCCGCTAAATAGGAAAAAACCAGTAGCACAGAAATGCGTTCCAGAAAAACATATCCAACGGACGATCAATTACCAGGGCCACCATGCCGACAAAGGCGTAAGCTCCAGCCAAGGCCTCATACGCTTCGTCTCGGACTGTATGATCCTCCTTCCCCTTCCCTTTCTCCAGCCATGACGAAATGAGCATGTGAACATCCGGCAGATTTCCTGACCCAAACATCTTATCTCTGCTGGCGATTACCCAATAAGAAACTACCAAACAACACAGTGAACCACCACACAGGGTCGGACCCAAGAGGGAAACGTCAAATAGCTATCGTCTAAGTTACGGAAACACGAATTCAGAGTGTGAAAACCACTGTCAGAGACGGCAAGCGGACCGTCCAGAACTCACAGAATCTAACAGACGCTGGCGGAAGTTAGGGTAAGCCCTAGGGCAAGTTAGGGTTGTGCGGTCACTGGACTGCGCAACAGGACTCCACACACAAGAGCTTCCAGTACGAAGGGAGAGCAGGTTGCCAAAAGGTTGCGTTGGTTTGGATGAGGCGGAAACTTGTGGTTTGGAGGAGGTCTGTGTTATAGCTTCTGTTTCGCAACAGCTCTTCGCACGAGCGAGTACTTGCCCCTGTAATGCTGCTATCGGGTTACCTGGCTCGAAGTTCCTCGATTTTGTCTCGCGAGCCAAATCTGAAACAGCCAATTAGCAGGGGCTGCTGACGTCAAGTGGAACGGTGTGGTGAAGATTCGGAAACCTAGGCCTGAACTGTAAGGAATGAGCAACTCCTGAGGCGCACTGCTAGCGGGTACACCAAACGTAAACGGCACCGGACTAGTCCTAACCAGTCCGCGTCATTCCGAAGCTCTCCGTGTCCTCGGATGCCTTCTCCGAACCTGTGCATCGCACGGTTAGGATTCGCTCTAGTGTTCCAATATCTAGCCTCATCATTCTTTGTATCAACATTCTGATAACTGATAATTCTGTCATTTCGAATCTAGATATTCACTTCCGCACTACTCTGGGTTTACACCCATAACATGAACCAGGACAGCGCAACTGAGTTGCTGTTATGAATTATAACTCAGAGTACAGCGCAGAATACTGAAGGGGACCGAGATTACAATGTTGTACCAAATAATGAGGCCTATGCAATATATAGGTGTGTTGACCAGGATTGAATGTCGAGGGTTAGGCCAGTCAAGGACTCGGAAGTCCCGAGGGTGACGGGGTCAAATTGGGTTCGGGGCGACTCGGTATGAGGTTGGGACCGACGAGTTCGGCGGGGGCTGGTTTGGCGCGTGACTTGAGGGCCGAGCCTGCGGACACGAACTGTTCGCGTGTACTCATTGTGGCGAACCCCAGTAAGGAATCGTAATTCCTTATACTCTCCCACCTTCTAAAGAAAGGCACTCCCCTTATCGAGACTGAACAGTCATTACAAGTAATTCCCGATGTGACTGTAAGTCTTCAGCCCTGTGACGAGCGTAATGATTACGCCGGCCTGACGAGGTCTTGCGGTTGAACTAAAATCAAGGGCTAGAAAAGCCTCGAAACGATCGCGATCAATCCTGATCGTCGAATCTTGATGAGCGTAATGATGACGAGACTGTCGTGGCACTGGGATAACCCTGTCGATCCTCTCTCTCTGTCTAGGGAGGATACTGGGGTGGCTTTCCCCGGGAAGATGGATATATGGAGCCTAACCCTCCTAATGACATCCCTTCTTGTCCCAGTGGTTAGGACAGGTGACTTTCTCACTGCGACTTCATGAGGTTAAACTCCATCCAATGGCCGAGACATGTCGCAGCGATCGTAATCGATCTGAGTCGTTAAAGATTATCGACTTCTTCAGCTGACCGAATGGGCAATGACGAAAACTCCCAAGTGAAGAATGATGAAGATGATTGATCCTGTTGAATACTTACCTGCCGCGTGGGCAGGTAATGATGATGCGTTGCAGTAGGACCATGATGACTGCCGAATGACGTGATAGTCAGATGACAAAGAGCCGTTCATCAATACGCGAGGTCGTTCGTGTCGCATGCGATATCACGCGTCCGTGTCCCATGAAAGTCAGCGAATTCCATCAACGAGGTGACCGAAATCAGGCGCGGAAGCGTAACGGTGACTGATGTTGCTTAAAAAATGGATGATGGAACACGCCGAAGGGTCAGACGAAAATTGCAGCACAGCTGCCCTTCTCCCGCCTCCATGAAGAAACATCGCCCAAGTTCCCAGGTAAAACTCTAGGAAACCCAAAGCTCTAGGGGCGTCGAAATAATCTCACGCTGCTGCTGAAAAGTCTCATACTCAGCTTCCACGATGCCGGTTGCAAAACTCCAACTGCGAGAAATCCCACACGACTTCTTAAAGTCCCAGAAATCTGCTTCGAAGATGCGACGAAAAATACACCAACATGGAGATCTCCCAAACCGCTTCAGAGTGGAAAACTCCTCCATCGTAAACCGATACAAGGGTCTTGAAACTCAGAAGTAACTGCTCCGGAAGACTCCAAGACGCTCTGAAAATTCTGCCACGGATAGGAACACTGCTTGCGACACAGCTCCAACAGTTATGGCAGCAAAATCTATTCGTTTCGATACTGCTCCTGATGGGTGGCGCTGTTGCGGCGGGGTCGTGTTCACACTGTCAGGCGAATTGACGATGGAGGTGGTAGCGGGTAGTGACGAGAGGAAGACGACGATGGCGATGACCTGTAACATGTACTGAACCACTCTAGTGAATATCCTCGAACAGAACCGGGGGTCGAATGACGCCAACAGTATCAGCTCCTTTATTCCGTACACGCCGAAAAAATCGGGGAAGAACCGGAAACTGATGCTGCGCTTCTCCTTCTCCATGCACCCAAAATATTCCGAGAATATCGCTCGATGTCGCTCGTACCCCTGAAGATAGCGAGCACAACTCCAGCTGTAAAACCTTGAACTGCTCCAGCAAAAATATCGGAACCTCACGGTAACTCAGCAAGTACCGCAACTCCGCTTCACAGCTACCCGCAAAACGCTAGGCTTCGCAACGTCTTTTAGCAGCGCCACTACGGTTTCTCCACCAGCTGTACGCATGAACGCACCCTTTATATTAGGGAACACTGGAGTCCACCGCCTCGGCATGATGTTTTGGCCGTCGATTAGGGTCAGCGCGCATCATACGCCGTCGATCTCCGCCCAGCTGTTACCCAACTCCAGAAATTCTCCGGTACTCCTGTCCAGCTGACGTTCACCCATCTCAGCGGCTGCTGCAGGTTACCCCAAATCTGCTTTGCTGCTGCTTATCTAAACTAAGAGAATCTGCAAGGATAGGAGTGCGCACGCTTCTACTCTGAGGAGCTTTAACGAGCTCGCCTACTGACCGCTGTACAGCTCTCTCCTCCGGTGGAAACTCGTCAAACTACATCTGCAAAAATCGGAACCTCCTTCTGCTGCACTAGGTGAAACCCTCAGCTCCGCGGCAATAGTAACTCCTAAAATTTTGGGGACACTCCATCAGAATAGTGTTGTTCGCAGGTTTCACCCCCCTTATTCAACCAGAAGCTGTCAATTAATAAGTCGACACTACTACTTGGTGGGAATGGTGATTTCCGGGTGAGGTAACTGAACGAGTAGCAGCCCGAACGCCGCTAACCCATCTGCTCCAGTACTCCCGTCGTTCTTCTCCCACTGCTTCAGCTCCTAACAGTTAACACATTCGGCGACCGGTGGAAAAACACTTAATACACACCCAAGGGTGGTGGCCTACGTTTCCGTTGATCGTGGTGGTATGAATCGCTAGTCCGCGAAAAAACGCCTCCCCACGCGGGAAGTCGCCCTCACTAAGTACACTCACTCTAGCACAACGTCATCACCTCCAGATGGCCGTCGTGGTGAATAGCATCGAGGTCGTTAATCCCAGCTGCTCCCACACAACTGCACTCCCCCACGTCCTCGTTGCGATCATGTCGTTCCGAAATTGTCGGATCCGCCCATAGCTGAAATAGTGTTGAAGTCTCATCCATCATCTGCAACTAGCCTGCCGGAAACGCCGGGACCCGCAACACAGTTACAGTTCACCCTGCCGCTGCATGGTGTGCCAGATGTACATCGCCGTACTTCCCGCCAATTGCGCTACCCCCCGCGCTCGTGACGACCAACTCCCGGCCGCCTGAGGACTCCCGTGCACTTGTCTCCTCATGACGAAGCCTTCATTTTTTTCGGAAGCCAATCCGAAGACTCCGCCCGAACACCCGAAAATTACGAAAACTCTAACGAACATACCCGAAAAACACTGCGAAAACGTCGCCTTCTCTTCGACGAGAAATAATGCTGTCTACGACGAGGAAAGGGGAGGACCGGCCAATCCCAGTCGTCCATCGGACAGGATCTGACATCATCGACAACGCACGGGCAATTAATCTCCGCGACGTCCGCTCGCCATCCAGCATCCTTCCGCCCCTTCCCCGATAGGTTCTGCTCCCCTACCGGAAGCCTAATGGGCAGGAACGTAGCTCTGATACCAGCTGTTATGAATTATAACACAGAGTATAGCACATAATACTATAGGTGTCACAGGATCGAATGTGTCGAGGAAAGGTTGCACTATCGATCAGTACAAGGCGCTTTTATACTTCCAGAGTACATCAGGTAACCAGGTTTATCTTATCCTAAGGGAATAGACCCTTCTAGAAGATAGAATCACCCTGCGTATAGCCACGCGAGGCTATTGGCTTTAAGGGATTACGGCAGGATTACGCTAGATAGCGTGTCTAGAACATTCCATGCCTGGTCGGTGATATAATAATAATAAAGGAAGAGACCAAAGGATAATGGAAAATGGAAAATAGGAACCAAATGAGATGCGGTAAAACGAGAAATGAAAAGGAAGGAAATAAGAAAAGGCCAAGTGGTGTAACGGGGTCGTACTCTCACACTTCCCCCCCTCAAAGCTGGGTGGTAGAAGTAACACCCTGCTTGACAAGGTAGCATGCAGAGGACGACGGGCGTTACCCATGTCGGTCTCAGAGACCCAGCTGTCCTCAGAAGGATCATAGCCCTTCCAACGAATAAGAAGTTCCACGGTGCCATTCCGACGACGGCGGGTGTGCAAGCACGGACTCGACCTCGTACTCGGGTTCATTTTGGACGAGGACGGGTGGCGGCGGCGGCGGTTGGGCGTCCGACGAAGATCGTATTAGGATCTCGATAGGGCTTCAGAAGTTGGACATGGAAGGCGTTGTGAATCTTCCAGGTAGCTGGTAGGCGTAAGCGGAAGGTAACAGGAGTGACCTGTGCTTCAACGAGAAAAGGCCCGCAGAAGCGAGGTCGAAGTTTAGATGGGAGATGGCTGATGTCCAGGTTACGGGGTGTCAAGGAGAACCTGGTCTCCCACGGAAATGGTGTGGTCGTTGCGATGGCGATCGGCCTGGCGCTTCTGTTGCTGTTGAATGTCAAGGAGGCGCTTATGGGTCCGATCCCAAAGCTGATGCATGGTTGTGATGAAGTCGTGTGCAGGTTGGACTGTTGCTGGTGTTGTCGGTTTCTGTGGTGTG